AGGTTACTGATATTCAATATAAAGCAATGAGGCAAGTATTTAATTTCAAATTCTACATACTTGTTGTAATTGTCTGGCAAGCACTCCTCAGTAAGAATTGTCAGCATCCCACTTAGGCTATTGTTCCTTTGGCTGTTGAGAGGTGTATTTGAAGAGCTTGTTCTGTCACTCCAGCCCATTGTTGGTGTTGACTCTCACATTAAATCCGTCATTTAAATATCCTTCAACCAGACCATAGAAAAGGTATAGAACAGAACTTTGACATACCAAGCCTTCTATAGAGTTAAGCATTTTCCAAAGTAGCACTTTGAGGATTTCACTGTACTCTGAATTTTCTACTTGAGGAGATGTATTGATATGTTAACACAAGTTCCTGTCTTTTTCAACTTGTTTACTCTTAGTACCACAAAATAAGTGTTTATTTTTAAATATTCCTTTTTGGATTTTAGTGTTCCTTGCACAAGCACAACTTACAACCAATGACATATGAATTAGAACAAGAATAAATGACACTTGAATAAAGTATTCACATACTATTTACTTGTCAATCATTATTTCTTGTTTTATTTCTGTTTAAATGAAGTTGGGTGTTGTTTATCACCCCCTCCTCCCCCTCCCCCTCAAAAAATTGAAAAAATTGTGGGAAATTTTATCATGATTAATGATTACTGAGTAACCCATACCTGCAGTTTCATTTCTTTTCTCTTTTATTTCCAAGCTTTCTTCCTGTCTTTTCCATTTCGACAGTCAAAAATTTTTTCCTCCAAAACAAAAGTATGGTATGCCATCAAATTTCAATTTTTGGTCTTCCCACATGACTTTGTGTGTTGTAGCTGATGGGTCTAACACAGAACTATAATTTAGTGTCTGCCAACAAGTGATTTTGTCACTGGGTAATCTTATCACTCATAATGTGAATTCTAACCCAGGCTTGTAATGATCATATAAGAGAGTTTGTTGAAACATATACTATACAAGGTCTGTTAAGCCCACAGGGGCTTATGGAATTTCAGGCCTCATTGATGGGGGGTTTATTTGAAGGAGAGTAATACAGAGGGGAGAGGGTGGGTGCTTCCATTGTAATCTAAAAACTAGCAATTCATCTTAAATATATCATTTTTTGCTAAAAGAACATTGAAATATAACAGATTGATTGGTGATATATTGTGCTGTTCCTTCTCCCAGTGCCTTTACAGAACTAGATCAACTGAGGATTTAGTTGGTCCCCTTTTATAGTAAATAGATGGGAGAATAACACAGAATTTGGCTTATTTGCACCGTCAGACTTACTGTTACTTCCAAAGTTGTCTTCATCACCCAAAGAGTGAACGATGAGTTTGTACACAACTCTCATTCTTTGACAATTTCGTCGATCTGAAACGTAGCCGGGCTTGCTGGATAAACGTACATCGAAAATTTCCGATAAATGAGATGCAACATCTGCATTGCCTGCCATTGCCCAAATATACTCCACTAAGAAAACTAAGACATCAGATTATTGTTTTCTGGTGAATTTGAAAAAGAGCGCGAAATATTTCCAATACCGGAACCGGAAACCGATTTTGGGATGTCACAAGGGCGGTTTGAGCTATGGAAACAAAGCAAATCCGTCGTACAGCTACTCGTTTCCATAGCTGAAACCGCCCTTTAGGTTTAGTGTCTTTGATTTCTTTTTTTATCGGCGAAAATAAACCTTAAGTGACAGAACTATGCTGCATGTGATGTTTACCAAGCCAGATGTTCTCTCTTGACTCAAAACACAGACTTAAAATTTGTTCACAGCAAGAACAGGGAACGTTCGGAGTCGTAAATCGTCGGTACTTCCGCGCTAATTATATTCCAGTGATTTAATTTCATTCCCAGGCACCTCACGTCCATTAGGGCTCTTTGAGCTATGGAAACAAAGCAAATCCGTCGTGTAGCTACTCGTTTCCATAGCTGAAACTGCCCTTGAGGTTTAGTGTCTGATTTCTTTTTTTATCGACGAAAATAAACCTTAAGCGACAGAACTATGCTGCACGTGATGTTTACTGAGCCAGATGTTTTTTCTTGACTCAAAACACACACGAAGTAGACTTAAAATTTGTGCACAGCAAGAACAGGGAACGTTCGGAGTCGTAAAATCGTCGGTAGTTCGGCGCTAATGATATTCCAGTGATTTAATTTCATTCCCATGCACCTCACGTCCAAGGGCACTTTGAGATATGGAAACAAGTCTTTACCTGTGAGGTGTACCCCTTCTCGAGTTGTGGTGGAATTTCTCAGAATTCTCTTCGGTCATAAACGAGGGCAAGGTTGTGGGTTGTGTTTGCGACACTAGCTTTCGTCAAATGGAGGAACAAGTGCTAGCGGATAAAGTGAGAAGGCATTTTCCAGCCAAACAGCAAGATCTGGCGCTGAGGTGTGTTTTGAATGCAAAATTTTAATTTCTTGAGCAAGTTTTGATCTTAAAAGATCGACACATTTCAGTGTTACTCTTGGAGCAGAATGCTAGATTTTTGGGATTTGTTGTTATATGAACGGTTCACTGCAATGGAAATCGGGAATCATTGTGGGTGTTTTAGGCTGCTATAGGTGTCACATCAAACAGCCTTACAATGTACACACTTACATAATGTTGTCTCTTAATTTCAACAAGAAGCAAATAACAACAGTAGTGGTAGAAATTTAAATGATGTATGCGTGGCTTGCTGGAAAAGGGTTAAGGGGGTCGGTGATTGGCCCACCGCCCAAGCCCCAACCTGGAGGACCAGGGGCTGTTCTTTGTCTGGCCTCTACCCCTCGACCAATCCGCCATGGTTGGACCTGCCAGGGACTAGAGTCCCAGCCGGTACAGCTCTTAGGGTCATTGAAACACTCAAGCCTCACCACCACTTCAAGGTGACAACCCAAGGTGAAGTAGCGCATGAACTAATAGATGTCTTTTAGTTGTGTATGTTTTGAGTCTTATTGTCATATTACCAGGAAAATAGGTGTTGATTATGCGATTTCGGCACATCAAATAATAGATTATTTTCCGTGTTGTCTGTACGTAATTTTTTTTTGGGAGTTATCTTTCATTTATCAGCTAATAGATTCCTTCTCGAATTGTCCGTTTTGGGACTCATATTTTATTTATTATGAAAATGAGATGGATGTCGCGAACTCAGACTCTTTTCCAAATTGTCTGTTTTAGAACCTATTATTCATTCAACAGCAAATTGGATTTGAGAAGGTTTTCGCTGGATTAGCAGATCAACTAATAGAATATTCTCCCTTCCGTCCATTTTGGCTCCTACTTTTCACTTATCAGCAAAATTGTATGTACAATCACGAAGCACACGCTGAGTAAGTAACAGACCAATTTAATATTTGCTAAATGTTTCAGAATCTTTTTTTCTAAACTAGATTCTTTTTTCAGACACCTGATGAACTCAAGCCGAGATACGCTTGCTTTGATCTTTACATTTTCGCAGAGGATACATGGCAGGATAAATTTAATTCACTAAGGTACATTGGTTTTCTTTCGAGTATGAGTCATGGAAAAATTGTTAGAAGGATATGGTAAAAATCCATGTTTAAAATTATGCTTTAAGTACCTTAGAATGTTGTTTGGTAACAAAAGAGTTCTCAATTTGAGTTCAGTTGCCACTAGCCACAAATTGAAAAAAACATGATGCGCTTAAGTTCCACAGTGTAATCCTTATTTACATGGTCCTCTGCTTTCTTCCTTTGTACTACTGGAGCTCCTTTTTTCTTTTATCAAATACAGTCAAAAATCAACAAATACCAAGTTTCCGTTAGTATTCTCGTCGTTGCATTCTAGTTCCCATACGTTGGTACAGAACGAGTCAAGTTCCTTTTCCTCAGCTACGACTACTACGGCACCACTTGGGCCATGGCAGTGAGTGTCAATATACATTACGACACTATCAGTGAAATAAAACGAAGAGGTTTTATTGTTAAGAATAAGAAACCCAGAGACAGTAGACATCACGTGGTGGTCTTTTAAACGCACAGGTAACTTGTCACCAACATCTATCGTGCACCACATCTCTAGCACACTAGCAGCCTCTTGGATAGAGACGTACCTTGAAGGTAAACTCTCCCGACAGAAATCGTAAGCTCGGTTGTCAGTTTCGATGCAACTACACAGTACGTCTACGATGGCACTTATAATTCATGATTGGCTCTCCGGGGACTTGACTTTCTGGAAACTTAAAGCATATCCTAAAAGGATTTTAAAACTATTTTTGTGAAGTTGGTATTTCCTATTTTAGTTTGAACCCTTTTATGTATTCAAATTGACGATGTCTATTTTTCTTAAGAATTTTCGAGAAAAACTAATTAGATCGATCACCATATTGTGAAAGCATTGTTCAATTTATTAATGAAGTAACCCACCCTATTGTGTCAGGTGAAATTCAAACAGGACATCTTACAAAAAATCATTGTAAGCCTATTTTCTCCAGGTTCATTGGCTGCTTTTTTTTTCTTTTATTCCTCTGCCTTATTACCCTAAAGACATCACCAACCGATAATATTTTATTTCTCTCGTCCTTATTTTCTTTTCCCTTTCTAAGTTGAACTTCTTCAGTAATTTCATCCTTTGTTGTGATTGCAAGTAGTATTTAATTGACCACGTGATCTGATAGATGTGTTAAGCAGCTTATCCAATAAGAATACGTCACAGCAAGTCAATATCTGGGCAACGAAAGGAGTCAAATAGCGATTTAAAAAAGTTGATAAGTAACATTCGAGTAATCAGATGTTGAGGAACACTTCAGAATCAAAGGTTTTGTATGTTGTCAAAGAGGTTTCTCTTGTTTTAAAATTTTATTCAAGTGCAGTTGCTGTAGTTTTGCGTTTGCCTGAAACATCTAATTGGCTATAATTGGTCTGATTACTTGGCACGTTAAATAGGCTCTAATTAGTTTTCTTTTTGTGACGTTTTGTCAATCGATGTTCATTAGAATTAGCTCATTTCGCGTTAACTACTCGCCGAAGTCAGACGTGTTTTGCACTGCTCTCGGAAGTCGTTAAGTTTACTTTGAAAATTTGTTTCGAAATTCAGTAAGATGCAAGAGCAGAAGAAGATAGCTGCTGCCAACCATCCGCTAGAGATTGAGGTAAGTTAAAACTGTTTTCTCTCATCTAACACTCAATTGTTAGGCCCGAATTGCTTCTGTTGTTAAGCACACGCATGATAAAGAAAAAATTAAAAAGTGCTGCTTCTGGAAGTATCCGCTGGTATGGCTATACGAAGGGGGCATTGGGATTTTCAGTTTTGCGGGTTTGGCTATTTTTTAGATTGGTTTTTCGGTTTTTGTAGGAGGCAACTTTGGTTTTTCAGGTGTTGGTGTTCATAACGTTTTGCGGATTTTCCGTTTTTAGCAATTGGTTTCCGATTTTCGTCAAAAATACGAACGGGCTTCGGATTTGGTATCCGATGTAGTTTTAGGTATCTCTTGTTTGGGTTCCGGTTTCTTTTCGGTTTGATCGATTTTTTTTCTTTGCGGTTTTGGATGTTTTTTTTTCGGTTTTGCGGTTTCTAACAGATCCTAAGCCCCCCTGTACTCCGAATTACGCAACAGACAGTAATTATCTGATGATCAATTATTGCATCGGGTATGGCAATTAGCGAATGAAATTAGCAATTATTGCATTTCGTCACAAACGAACTGTTTTACCAAAGTAAAGCAAATGTAAATACAGACGCATACAATTAGGTGATCTTGCGCGCACGCCTCGTCTGTTTTCGACCAACTTTAAAACGCGGAAGTGAAAATTGCCCACTTGCACAGCTGTTCCTCTCTCTAAAACTGATTCTCTAGAGAAGTCACCATCTGACACCTGTCAATAAAAGAGCACGCAAGAAAACAAAATGCGCATGTACACTTTGAATGAGCAGTGTGGGTTTGGTCAAAACGCTCGAGATAAATTATCAAGACAAGTTATTGTTAAAAAACAAGCGATCTTACAGAAAGTATAATTTACTTCCCTGAACGATTAATCTACGATGACTAACCTTTGTTACGTTTAAAAATGGCAAGGAAAGTCGTTGAAAGTAAATTTAAATGTATGTTTTGAAGTTTGAGAGTCTGTCCGTTCGTTTGCTCTTTGTTTGCTGAAATTGCTTTTTTCTTCCATTGAAATACTGGAATCAAATGATACACTTTTTCTCGTTAGAAACAATGGAATTTAATGCAGAGGTTGCTCATTTAATTTGTTCGGTTTTTGTCTTGTAATTTAAAGGATAGATGTCAAATTCAATGGAATTGCTGTTTGACTGAACACATTGATTTTGTTTGACATTATTTTATTAGGCCATTTTGCAATTCTGCCTTTTTTTGTTTTGTTTTTTTTTTCTTGTCTATCATTTTGTCGTTTTGAGTGTGTGTGAGATAGTCATTAGTAGTCACATTCCCCTTTGAGCGAAGAGTTGGTTAAATATATGATTTGATATCTTCTTTTTATGTTACTAGGACTCGAGTACCAGCCAAGTGCCAGTGGAAACTTCCACCACAATGGGCTCTACAGGTAAGCAAAATATCCCCTTGTTTTTCGTAGGAGGAAGTTGGTTTTTATTAAGCTTCAAAACCTTAGAACACTGTTAAAAAAATGATAAGAGTCATGGCCTAACCTTTGATTAATCATTTGCTTTACTTCTGCAATGACAGCTCAAGTCCGAGCTCTGCTTGTTGGTGCTTTGAATGGAGTCCTGGGCTCGTCCAGTCCGTCAGCCCATAATTTACTTGAATCACTTCTTCAAGAGCTTGACGGCAGTACCCCTAGAACGAGGGAGAGTCCATCAACCATTGCAATGGTAAGACATCAAGTGATCTACTGTGTTTGAGTTGATTCATCACTATGGTAGGTGAACTGAGATCATTCAGATAAGGGGGGGTCAATTATCTCTTTAGTGTACCAACTGGTTCAAATATAGATCAGAGCTAAGGAATATGTCAAGATGAGAGAATATGTCCGGGCAATGGTGTTCCATTCTAAGTTATTTGCAGGCTTGAAGCATCTGGATTTCACTCCATATGAAATGGCAAGGGAAACAACTTTCGTTTATGTCATACTGATTCAATGGTTTTGCCTCTGTTTTGAAAAAAATTACATTCTTAGGTATTTTATCACACGCTTTAACTTGACCTAACTTAGGCTCTTTGATCAATAACTAGACTTTTCTCCGAAATTCCTCATAATTAATTGTATGCTTTATGCAAGCAAAGGTGTGGAGATCACTCCATGTTTATTTGCCGACACATTGATATAATTCTTATAAATACTTCTGCATTTACTTTACAAACATAAGAGGGATTGACAAATATCGTTATCAGTGATTCATTTTGAAAATTGTGTTAATGGGTACAATGTACCCCTCAGGCAGAAATCAATGGGTCACAACTCAAATGCAATGGGTCAAAATAGTAACCAAGCCAATTGATGATCTTGTAAATTCACGTGGCGTTGCAATGTGCTATGTTGAAAATTTCGGTTCCTTGATGCTTTATTTATCGAGTCCATTTTGTCATTGTCGGTGCATACCGTGCAGTACATGTATTCGTCGTTATCCACTTTTTCAAGTCGAAGCCACTAATAAATTGGCAACCATCTCGACTGAAAATGTCTCTGAATTTTTCTCTTTCTCTGATTTTGAACGTGCGACTCGGACTGGGGGCCTTCGGCGCCGGCTTCACTCAGACTAAGACTTTGATCATTATTATAATTTTTATCACTGTTGTTGTTCACGTCCTTGTTTACACTAAAAAAAGTATTCAGTTTACCTTGATTAGGTAGAAGTTTCATTACTTTTTTCGGAGGCGTAACTCATCCATTTACGTACGAATAACGATGCTTACTTTCGTTTTGTTTGTGATTCGATTCGACATCATAACGTCAAAGGCTCAAGGAACTTATGCTTTCCTTTGTCACAACTCTCTTTGTTCGCTGCAAGAGAATCACACATAGAACTTTTTTGAAAACTGTTTCGTTGTCATTCGTGAAATGTCGACTTTGTCTGAAGATGAATTGTCCCAGAAATCATCTGAAGCTTTTGTGGATAGTTTTGCGCTGGCACTGAAACTATAAATTTTTTCCATGCGAATAAAGATAAACCCAGAACGGTACGTACTCCCTATGTGGCTTTTGTGGTCGCATCGCTTTATCGCCTTCGAATTGTATTTTTGCTTGTCGTAAGGAATTTTCCTTTTTGTAAGAAAGGATCGAGGGATATATAAAAATTGTTTTCGGCAATGGCTGATTGTGTATCAAGGCGGATATTGGGAGTTTGTGAAAGCCATTTCAAAGCATTAATGTGTTTGCCCCGATGCATTTGGTCAATGATCTCATTAACCGCGCGCTTTCCTGCGTGTTTTTTACTATCGGTGCTTTGAGAGGTTTGAAGTGAACTCTGTTGTTGAGTTGCACTTTGGCTTCTTTAGTTATTTCTGTCCTATTCATGATGACTATTGTTGTGTTGCTTCGGTGAGATTTAAAGCAAAAGTTGCTTCAACTCTTTTAGAGCCGTGACCTCATTGCGTTACAAAGTATTTTTTGGCTTAGATACAGTCTGCAAGTTGCGTTAGGACAATTTTCCAAGTAGCTCCGAAGGGCGATAGAAGACTGAACTGGTGGCATTCAGTTTGATATAAAACAGAAGTGGTTCTTTGTTTTGTCCGTGAAAGGTGTAACGGAGGCGCATTCGTCTTGCGAATAAATCTCGCAAAAGTTGGCCTGATTTCACATTCGTTTGTCACGGGTGTTGGGATGAATTTGAGACCCTTTGATAGCGCGCTGACTTGGCTGTCAGATGGTTGATAGTTTGAGAGGTTTTTAAAGGAATTTTCATTTTCTCGGTTTTTGGCTGCAAGCCTACATTTTAAAGTGTTTCTACGCTCTATGTGTCTTAGGCTATTTGTTCTACTTTCGCTGATATTAAAGCCAGCTTTTTGTAGAGTCAGAGCACACAATTATATTTTTCATCTCTTTTGTATAAAAGTGAGCTCTTTGAGGTCAGAAATCTCATTCCTCAATTCGGCTATTTTATCATTCTTATTTACAATGATCACCGAGTACTTTCCCTTGTGTAAGGTATTCTGCCAGAGAGTTGTTAAAGGTGGATATTGATCAGCGCATATGTAAAGGTGACAAAACCTGTAGCTAACCTGTGGAGGTTAGTAGACTTCACTTTCGTCGAGATCGCACTGAGGAAGGTTTTTCTTGTCCCTTCTTTTGAACGGTAGGCACTGAACCCGACAGAATTCTTCGCCTAGATCCTTCAAAGTACACAGATCTCTCGAAACATTCCTCCGGGAAGTGTTCGGAAGAGATCACAAATATTCCTGCGGGATTGAAGTATTTACCGAAGGTCAATACTTTCCTTGGTATTGACCTTCAGTAACTTCAGTTGGATGTTGCTAAAGATTCACTAGGGACCAAGTCGTCCATGTTTGAGGTAATTTGAGATTGCTGAGAAAGATTCCGTCAACCACTGCAAAAGTAACACACTGAGGGTTTTTCTTTAGCTCTGCAGTTGACTCAGTGGTTGATATTCTATTGAAGAGAACTTCTTTTTATGGATCTTTTTATTTATTTATACTTGTCCTATTCTGACTCTACTTGGCATTTTTGGAAATTCTGTAAACATAACATCTCAGAACTTCTGCCTATTTAGTTTTGTTACCCTCATGTGCTGTTGGATGATCTGGTCTCGCAATTTCTCCCAACCAACATCCCTGGTTGGGAGAAATTGCGACACCAGGTCGACCAGTTTTTTGGTAAAGGTTTCTTGGTTACAGTCCATCAACCGCTTTTGTGGTAGGACACCAGTGGGTGTGCTTTTTCTTTTTTGACTCGTTTTTTGTTCTATCTTAGGAAAATCTCTCAGAGATAGGGGACCGTCCATCGTATACTGTGCAGAGTCCTGTTTCTGCGACATCTTTGGATGGATCGATAAGAACTGATTGGGAGACTGCCGATTTGTCATCCTTCAGTTGCGATGTAGGGACTTCAACTCAAACGAAAACTTGTGGCTGTGGTACTCAAACAACAGTATCGCTGGAATTGGTTAGCAATCTACTCATTACGACATCTTCCAGTTTTGGTGACTTTTTAACTATTGAATCGCCATCCCTAAATGAATTCAAAGAACAGGACTCGACTGGTGACTCCCACAGTAACTCAAGATTGTCGTTGAGAGGTGATGAGGTGGAAGCCAGTAATAATCCTACCGTGTGGAAAAAGAGAAGCGAGAGTCCATCCCTAACTGAAGTCAAAGAACAGGACTCGACTGGTGGCTCCCACAGTAACTCAAGATTGTCGTTGAGAGTTGATGAGGTGGAAGCCAGTAATAATCCTATTGTCTGCGAAAGGAGAAGCGAGAGCCCATCCGTTGACACGCACATTGATGACGATTGGACCCTGAATCTGCTTCCAAATTCACCAGGATTAACAAAAATTGATTTGGGGTCAACCAGTACCATCTCCCGTTGCTGCGATGGAGAAACATTGGAAATGGATCCATCTTGCGCGAAGTCCTCCAGCTTTGTTCTAAAGATTTCAACTGGATTGGAAAATTCCAAGGTGGTGTCTAAAGGTGAGTGTAGCATTAGTACTAGGGAGATATCACTGGGTTTTTAGAGGGTATGTTGGGGATCAAATTAGAACTTACACTCACTTTTATGATTTTGTTGAAACATCTGGTTCGTCATCATTATAATTTTTCTTAGTTACTAAGAAAAACGAAAACGCACTTTTTCAATCGGTGGGATATGTCGCTTTTCTCAGATTCTTATAAACAAGGCACACTGACAATTCTTGTTCATAAAAACATTTTATAGGATGATTTTCATGTTACTGTGGATCTTCCTTTCAGAAAGCCCAATTGGTTGTCATATATCAGACCAGTTGTCAGTTACCAGTTATATCCTTGCCTGTCGATGTTGCTGCGTTAGTCGGGTGAACCGACTAGGCTTTGGTAGATTGTGCTCGGAAAGAAAGCGTATTATGCTTTTAGCAGTGCTCATATTTTTTAGAAATGAAGCCAAAATTATGCTACTTTCTGAAAATAATGCTCTCTGTCACCGAAATTATGCTACTTACATTTTACACTGATTTTAAGGAAAATAAAGATCATCAGTGGCTTAACTCTATCAATTTTGACTTTAATGAACATTCACATAGTCCACCTTCCAGTCTTACAGTCCTTAGCATGGCAAATACGCATGTGCACACCTCGAAAAGCCAAATGATTAACAAATGATACAAATGATACGTTCTCTAGAGATTAAAGCTCTCGGTACGGCACTGGAAGTGCTTGAAGTGGTGGAAGTGGATGCACTCGAGGACGACGCCATCTTTGATCTGAGGCCTGAGGGGCCGAGCCGCCGAGCCATAAGCGTGGTGGCCTGAGTCTCAATCTTATGCACAGGGTGACCTCTGCCGCCTGCGGACCATATTTGACCATGGGCCTTAGCACAGACCTCAATATTTTCCAAAAACAATTAAAAAATAAAATATAAACTGAATTATTCTAGAGCTATGATGGTTTTTTTTTGTTTTCAAC